TGCAGGAGGAGCGTTTCCTCAAGTACATTGGCTAGGGAACAGACCAGGGAATTGGTGGATTCAGAGAGGAGCCAGGAATTAAATCTCAGCTAATGAACCTTACTCCATCTCTGAGAACCGTAATGAGAGTGCCATTGAGAATAGTAAACTCAGTTGCAATTGTATTGCTTTTACTAGTACTATTTGGGTGAAGATCAAAGGGGGAAATGGAGACTCAGAAGAAGAGATGCCAGCGGAAGTTATTACTTTGGTTTTTATTGGAAGATACATATCTTAGCTGGCTGTCCCTGGACTTGACAAAAATGTAAACATGATAATAAAACCAGAGTCCCTATTTATCTGATTTTTATAAATGTTGCACTTATAGTTTCATTATAAAAAGATCAGATCATCAGAGGCAGTAACTATCCAGGTTTGGAATACATTTGATTGCTGACTGTTAATAGAAGTTTGTGCTATGGTAAAGATTGTTCAAAGGGTAGGACTGTCACTTCTGTGTTTTTAGAGCTTCTTCTCTCACTTCTTAGGGATGATTTTTTTTTAACTTTTGAAGTTCCTTGTGACTTAGTTATGATGCTCAGAGAGTGATCATCCTCCTAGATAAAACTTAAAGGATTTAAGAAACTAATTACTACATATAAAGTGATAAATAGGTAATTGGGATGATTTTATTTTGAACTCTGGTTAAATATTTTGTCTATATTGTCTTGGCTATGAAAAGTTCATAGTACTATTGAGGTGCAAAACAGTATGACTTTAAGGAGAATTCTAATTTTGTAAGTCAGATAGTCACTTGGCAATTGTGTTTTTGTTTTAAAATATTTTCATGCATTTCTTAATTTAGTAATTGGTCTGAATGATGAGACCAGATCAGTATATACATATTTTCATTGGTAGAAAAGTATATACCCTTTTTACAATGGTGACTTATTTTTTAAAATCAGCATAAACATTAGCCTCTAAGAGCAATCCTAAACAATCACAGTTATAAACTATACTATCTAAGAAGACTTTATTGTGAAGCATTTACCTGTCCCAAAAGTATCCATGTTTCCATTTCTTGGAGTAATACATTAAGGAGTGTGAGTTTTTTTGTTTTTTTTTTAAATATATTTTTATTGATTTCAGAGAGGAAGGGAAAGGAAGAGAGAGAAACATCAATGATGAGAGAGAATCATTGATCGGCTGCCTCCTGCACGCCCCTACTGGGGATGGAGCCCACAACCTGGGCATGTGCCCCTGACCGGACCCAGGACCCTTGAGTCTGCAGGCCGATGCTCTATCCACTGAGCCAAACTGGCCAGGGCAGGAGTGTGAGTCTTATTTGCATCGATCACTAGGGCATTCAGCTGGATAAGGTTTGTTTTGATGTCTTGGACCATTCAGTATTTTACTCATCCCATAATACAGTTTTATGCAGAAAGATTAAAACTATGTAAATGTTTTTTCTATAAATTATGGGTTATAATATTTAAAAGGGGTAGAATTGCATCCTTGTTTATAGCACAATGTTTGTAAATAAAGTAAAATGTTTAAGTAAAAAAAAAAAAGAAACAGTTTGTTGGCTGTTGGTTGGTGGTGAAGAAGAATGAGAAATTAAAGGAAATTTCTTAAATTCAGGAATGGCATGGCTGGAGTGGCTCCATGGTTAGAGCATCAGCCCCATGCACGGAAGGGTCCCAGGTTTGATTCCCGAGTTGGATTCCCGGTCAGTGACACGTACCTGGGCTTGACACGTACCTGGGCTGCAGGTTTGATACCCAGTCCTGGTCAGGGCGCATGTGGGAGGCAACCAATTGATATATCTCTCACATCAATGTTTCTTTCTCCTCTTTCTGTTTCTCTCTCTCCCTCTTCCTTCCTTTCCTCCCAGTCCCTCTTAAAAAAAAAAAAAAAGATAAAAATTAATGGGAAAAATATCCTCTAGTGAGGATTAACTAAAAATAAATAAATAAATGAATGAATAAATAAATAAATTCAGGAATGACCTCTAGCTCTACAAAGATATCTGCTGGTTATTTCTCTGGTTAGTATGAACGTACTTCTCTGAGTTTTGTGATTATAATAAGGCAATCTGTTAGTGTCTGTGTCAAACACACTGAAAGTCATCACCTCAAAGTCAGTTTACAGTCTGGGCTCTGTAGTTCAGGACTTGTCCTCCTCTCTTCCTTACTGGCCCTCACGAGTGGGGAGATTACCATAAGCTCCTTCTTGGGGAAATCAGCAGTTCCCATCTTTAATGCCACTCTATTCTTGTTTCTTACCTGTCTTATCTTTCTGCTCTTTTTCATCTGGCTCTTCTGTACATCCCCAAGGTAATGACTTTTTTCTTTGTATTTCTGACTTGATTTATACTTTTGATTTATTTCTATTTATCTCTGAGGCCTTAGTATAGCTCCAGTTTGAGTTAAAAGACCTGCACAGGAGTTCTGCCCACATCCCTGACTGGCTCTGTTACCTTGGGCAGGTCACATAGGATCCTGAACCTGAGGTTTCTTTATCTTGATCAGATCTGTCCCATCTCTCTCACAGGGTTGTGGTGAGGATCAAATAAAAGTGTCTTTTAAAGCATAAGTGTGTAACATTATTAATGTTCACAACCTCCCCAAATGGCCTTGTTCACTCCCTGCCTAGATGCCCTGCATAAGCTTTGGTCATGGTGCCTTTTTTGTTACATGTTTGTTTACCTGTGTACCCTTGAAGGCCTTACATCTTATTCTCTTTAAATTTTCTAGCACTTGGCTTAGAGCTAGTTGGTGTGGATATAGGCTTAATAATGTTTGAACAAGTGGGTAAAGAATGTCTGTCTAGCACAGCCAGTGTGGCTCAGTGGTTGAGTGTTGATCCATGAACCAAGAGGTAACAGTTTGATTCCCAGTCAGGGCACATGCCCTGGTTGTGGGCTCAGTCTCCAGTAGGGGGTATGCAGAACGATTATTTTCTCTCATTATTGATGTTTCTATCTCTCTCTCCCTCTCCCTTCCTCCTTCGCTGAAGTCAATAAAAACATATATATATTTTAAAAAGAATGTTTCTCTAAAGGAACATACTCTTTATGGTCATACTCTTTCTGAACAGAGTCTTCCTATGATAGCTCTATACTTCTTGAAGGTAGCCTTGTTAAAAAGCAGTCTTTCAATACTTTCTTATGTTCCCATTTGCAGGATGCCAAATTCCAGTGCCTATGGTTGCCTTCCCAAGATCTTTACACATATTCATCTGATGAGTCTTGTTTTTTTTTTTAAATAAGGCAAATCAATAAATCATTGTAGATTTTGAATTAAAGATAGAAAATATTTTATATTTTTTGTTATTCATTTAACTAAATATGTTGAGTATCCTTTGGGTACCAAGCTCTGTTCCTTGGGCTGGGAATACAGTAGTGAACAAAACAAGTGATGTACCTGCTCTTAAGCAACTTCTAATCCAGTAGAGTGATGATCAATGAAGAAGTAAATGAATAAATAAGATAATTTAAACTAATCTTAAGTGCTGTAGGGGGAAACATGTGAAAAAGCCTCCTAGACTAATGAGGAGTTCTCACACATGGAAATAAACTGAGTGCATTACATGTGTTATGCTCTTACTTTCACTGTGGATTGGGTTACTTTCAAGGGATCTAATTGTCTTGTTAGGTGAAGCCCAGCATCATTCATACCTCATGGAAGTGGCTGTTACTTGGGCTTTTGGCTTGGTGAGAACATCTCAGTCTATATGAGGGTTCCTCAACCTTAATGAGGACCCTCTTTGTTCAGGTTGCTGATAGTTGAGTGTTCTTGAGGGACCAAGGGAGGCCCTGAGAAGCTGGGGGAGTTGTTGACCATCCAGTAACCTTTCTGTACCATCTTGTTGCATCAGTGCACCCACATCCTCAATGCCAGGGAAATTGCTTGCATTCTCTGTCTGAGGCCTTTTGGTGGTGAGCAGTCGGGTATCCATCCATTGCAGAGTCTATGAAGAAGAAGATGGGGTGATAGGATGAAATGTGAAGAGTGAAATATGGGGACACTTTGTTAGTTTGTGTGATTCCAGTACTGAAGGATGCAAAGGAATGAGCTTTATGAAGATCTATGTGTGGAGGCAACATACTAGATGCTTCCCAACTGGGGAACACATTTGGGAGTTCGAGGAATGGAAAAAAGTCACTGGCTAGAGCAAGCATGTCAAACTCGAAGGCTAACATGGGCCAAATAAACAAGGTTTAAGTCTATGTGGGCTGCAAAAAAACAAAAGCTTCAATTTTCATAGAAATGTAGGTTTATTTCGATAGAGACATGCTGAATACAAAGGGCTGAAATAAATGAGTAATCATTAACATAAAATAATAGAACATTTTAATAAAAATTAATATTTTTTCTTGAACATTAACTTACCAGACACTGAATAACTGCACAAATTAATAAGTGTAATGCAAATCAACCTATTTTTCTTGTTCTCTGAAAGCGAAATATTTCCTGTTGTGCACACCAAACTAGTCAGTACAAGACTAATGACATGGCAATCAGCTGCTAAAATATTCACTGCTAGTATTAGTGGAGAGAAATGGTGCGCCTTCGGGTAAGGGAAATGAATGCAACACGATTATAGTAATCAGTCATTAGCGAACGTTGTAGTTCGTTATTAATAATTATTTATAACAGGATATTGTAAAAATTAAGTTATGAAATTTTTATTAAAACTTTTCTTACGTACCATTATATGGCTGGGCTGCAAAAACATTCATTGCGGGCCACGAGTTTGACATGCTTGTTCTAGCTGGTCTGTAAATACTGAGCCTGCACAGCTCTGATCTTCTTGACCCCAGTCTCCTGCAGGGATCAGCCTGTGGGGGAGGTGCCCAAGCCCATGCAGATGGATGGAAATACTATTTTGTTTTTGTTTTGTTTTGTTTTATAAGGGGTTAAAAGTAGTTTTTACATTTCTTTCATTTCTGAAGTTTTTGTGTGTGTGTGAATTCTGATAATTGTATAGGTTATTGTCATAAATGGAAATTTTTTCTTTTCAGATAATATGGATGCAAGTGAACTCAAGCAGTTTTTTGAGACCAACTATTCTCAGATATACTTCATCTTCTATGAAAATTTTATAACACTGGAAAATAGTTTAAAATTAAAAGGTAAGCATTTCTACAAGTTTTTTTAATGTTCAGGTTTTCTTACATCTCAGACTCAGACTGCTGAAAGCTGCACCCATCCTCTTACCTCCCAAACCTGGCTCCCCTGACCCTATCCCTAACCCTCCAGGGTCCCACTGCTGTAATGACAGCTCATGAACTAGACTCAACATCCTGAACACATCTTTGACTTCTCACTCTTGCATCCCTTTTCCTTATATCCATGAAGTGCCTGTGGGACACCCAGGTATAGGTTCTTGCTGGGCAGTAAAAACGCAGGGACTGGAGCTTGGGAAGGAGAGGTACGACCATGCTGTTGTAGAGAAAGAATGGCAGTCAGGGATTTGGGGTAATTTCTTCTTTTATCGGGCAAAGAGGAAAGATAAAGGAGTAGTGGGTGAGGGGAGGGGTGCCAGGAAAGTTTTTTTTTGTCACAGATGCCCAGAGAAGAGATGCAAAAAGGTGAGTAGCAGCAGGACTAGGAAATGATAGCACAGCGAAGAGGCTGTCACTGACTAGTGACAGAAAAGTTCTAGCAGAATAGTGGGAGCAGAATCCGAACAGAGAAATGGAGTAGCTGGGTGGTGAGACCATGAAGGCTACAGGTGAGAATACCGCTTTTGATGAAGACAGAGGATCATATCTCAGGAATAGCTTGGTCATGGGGAGGTTTTAAAGGATGCATTTGCTTGTTTGCAGGCTGAGGAAAGGGAGATACCGGGGGGTGCGAGGTAATGGGGGAAGTGGGTTGAGACAGGGGCAGGTATAAAGAGGACATGGAGAGGAGTGTATAGATGCCCTGATTGCTTCTGTAAAACCAGAGGCAAATGTCAAGCATGGAGGGGAAGGAATTTGGGGCGAGGCACTGTGGTGGTCCCTGACATATAGCAGATGGCTCAGACTCTTACAGAATGCTCCAGGCTCTAGTGGGTCATCAGACATGGGCATGTGCCCAGATACCAAGTATTTGTTTTTGTTTTTCAATGAATTGCTCTGTTCCCCGCCCCCCCCTGTGATTTATAAACTGATATAAATCTTGAACTTAAAATTATTTTTTCCTCAAATTGGTAGATATTTCAAATATGAAATAATCTAGTTTTCTAGTTTTGCTCCACTTCACTTTCTTTTCATCGGTGTGTGGAGGAGAATAGTGTAATATTATGTGCAATCAAAATAGCAAAGGAAAAAATTAAAATTTCATATCTTAAAAATAAACACCCTACAACCTAATAACCCCATTATAAAGGGTCCTTCTTCCCTCCCTACTCCCCCTTTTGCTTTCTCTATCTTTTTAGAGAAATATAGCTGTTCAACAATGTATCAGTTAGTTTGTGCTGCATAGCAAGCCATCCCTAAATCGAGTGCCATAACATAGCAGCTAGTCATTTACCTACAATTTTCTGGGTCTGTTGGACAGTTCTTCTGGTTTAGGCTAGCTCATGCCTCTGATATCAGCTTATGGTTGGCAAGCTATTGACCATGTTGCCTTAGTTCTCCTGAATGTGGCCCCTCTTCTCCAGCTACAGGCTGTCTTGGGCTTCTTTAGATGGTGGTCTTAGGGTTCCCAGCTCAGGAAGTGTTTTCAAGTTTGTGCTTGCCTCACATTTGCTAATATCTATCTGACATTGGCTAGAGCAAGTCACATGGAGAAATAGACATTTTTTGATGGGAAGAGAAAAACTCTCCATTTTTAAGGTCTACTGCAAAGAATCATAGCAAAGAACCAATAAAAACAGGGTGAGGTTTTGAAGTTTCTTGCTTTTAGTACAATCCGTGTTTTTTTACTCGAGTGTAGGAAAAAAGTTGTATCAAAACAAAAGAATCAAGGAAAGTGTTTACTAGGAATAATGAACTCATCTTGTGATAACTTCAGCCTTCCAGTTATTCAGGCCAGATCCTGAGTTATTGCCTCTGTCTTCAAAATATATCAGGATCCTTGGCCTCTTCTCCCCTTTCTTTCAGACACAAGGGCCCTCTTCCAATCGCCTTTCTTCCTCACCATTCCAAACCGGCTCAGCCATAGGACCTTGCATTGTCCAATCCCTCTATTTGGAAAATACTTCCCCTCAATTTTTTACCCCCAAATGTTCATGTGGCTTGCTCCTTACCTCTTTCATAGCTTTACTCAGATGCACCTTATCAGCAAGGTGTTCCCTGACTTAACTAGTCAAAATTGCATACCACCTTTTTTGGCACTCCCCATCTGCCTTTCTTATTGGTTGTCTTACTTATTCATACGATTCCTTAGGGGTGTTCTTTTTTGTTCACTTCTGTATCCTCAGTTCCTGGAATAGTCCCTGACATAGAGACATTCTTTAGTATTCATTCAATGAGTAAATGATGTTACTTAATAGAGCTGTGGGGCCCTAGTTGGTTTGGCTCAGTGGATAGAGCGTCGGCCTGCAGACCTAAAGATCCCGGGTTCAATTCCGGTCAAGGGCACGTACCTTGGTTGCAGGCTCCTCCCTGGCCCGGGCCCTGGTCGGGGCTCATGCAGGAGGCAACCAGTCAATGTGTTTCTCTCACATTGATATTTCTCTCTGTCTTTCCCTCTCTCTAAAAATCAATGGAAAAATATCCTCGGGTGAGGATTTAAAAAAAGCAAACAAAAACATAGAACTGTGGGGATTCAGTTAGATCAGGGTTCCACAACGTACAGCTGCTGCTTGTTTTTATAAATCAAGATTTATTGGACACAGCCATACCCATTCATTTATGTATTGTCTATGGCTGCTTTTGCATTATAACAGCAGAGTGAGTGGTTGCAAGAGAGGCCTGAAAAGCCTAAACTATTTATTATCAGGACCTTTACAGAAAAAGTTAGATGGTGTATGCTAAGCAGTTAGCACAGTGCTTGGTGCATAGGTTGGACAATAAATGCTAACTACTGCTGTAGTTGTTATGATTTTTATTATTGTTATTATCAAAAGGACAGTGTGCAGTTGCTTAAAGAGATATATGAGTTTTTATAGTTATTACTGCTCTATGCCTGTTCATATCACAAAATTAGAAGTATTTCTTTGTTTTTTTTACTGTGCATTCTATCATAATTTGACCTCATAAGTAACTAACTGAGAAATGAATAAATTACCTGTCCAGGGTTGATAACAACTGGGAAAACATGGAAGCTGTGTTTAAGGATCAGCTTTGCTAGAAGTGGGCCCAGGCCGTCTGGCTTGGTGGTCCATCTGCATTCCTAACACGGGCACTACTTCCTGGCATTATTTGAAAAAGTAAATGTATGTTGATGCTTAAATGTTTTAAGATACCTTTTAAAATGTTTTTAATATCCTAAAATGTACACATTGTCATGATAACTAATTTTTTAATATATTCCAGGGAATAATAAGTCACAAAGGGAGGAGCTGGACTCTATTCTCTTTCTTTTTGAAGTAAGTATTTGTTAATTCATTTAGCTTTTAAGATTCTTGTAGAAAATATGTTATTTTAGATCTTCAGTTTCGCTTGAAGACAAATAAAATTGTTGGACATGTATCCCCTCCCTCCCTCCTTCCCTCTCTCCCTCCCCACCCTTCCTTCCTCCCTCCCTTCCTTCCACTTTTACAAACAATGCTGCAAAGAATGTTCTTGTGATTTTTTTCTTTTTGCAAACATGTGGGAGAATTTTTCTGTGTGGTTACCTAGACATGAAATTATTAGATGGAAATGTATGCACATTTTAAATAGTGATATTGCCAAATTGCTTTTTAAAAAGGTCATATAAACTTATATGTAAACTTATATGTAAGTCTTATGTAAATTTCCTAACCAACACTGGAGATGATTTGTCTTTTTCATATATGCAAATTGACATGTAAAAACACACTGTTTTCTGACTACTAGTGAGGTAGCAATCTTTGTATGTGTCTCTGTGCCCATGTGTGTCCATCATATATTCTCTTCAAAGTTGAAGCAGCATTTGGGTTTGATTTTTGATCTCACATGCTTTTTTGTCCAAATGTGTTAGACAAGTGGCCAGATTATTGATACTTTGAGAACTATACCAGAACCAAATTATACCAAAGTATAGGTTCTGCAGGTTAATTGTTGATTATCTAGAAGTTATTCAGGATTTGAAGATACTTGTGCTTAGGTTAGAGTGTGTTTGCTGCAGAGTTGGCTGGAGAGGGAGGCCAGTGGAGGAAGGCTCTCCATGGACTTTCTGGGTTTGTGGACTAAAACAGAGATGGAAATCTCCAGCCCGGGGCTTGGCTCCAGCTCATGGCTGTTGCTCAAAACTGTGGCTCCCCTTTCTCTCCTTTGAGGGCTGTACTCATTCCTCAGAGTAACAGACATTCATTCACCTCATATTCGGTGGTTATTGTGTTTCCTGTGGCAAACCTTCTGTGAATGAAATCTGTGCAGAGTCGTAAGATGTGCAAGGCAGTTCAGGGGTGGCAGCTCCAACTTTATTTTAAAGTTGCTCCGTTTATATTATTTCTTCTACAGCTTAAAATATGTATCTACTGACTACCATTTGTTTAATTAATATAAATTATTTTATTTATGTAATAGCTGATGTATTTACTAAAGAATTTATAACATGCACATTTGAAGCATAATGATCAAGCCCATACTTTTGAGCCCCTCACCTCCCCCAGTTTAGATGCTCTTCCTTGATCCCATCCTTTCTTTCCCCTAAAGGCAACCACTCCCATGCATTTTTTCATTTCCTTTCTTTTTAAAGAATGATTTTACCACAAGAATTTGTATCCCTAAATGATGCATCGTGTAGTTTTGTTTGATTTTGAGTGTGATAAAATGGTCTCATATAGTACACAATCATCTTTGGCTTGCCTTTTACATTCAACATTATTTCTAAGATATTAGAAAGAAGGCAAGCCCCCAAACCAGGGGTCCTGGCAGAACACAAAGGAGCCAGACAGCAAGGCAAATATCCTCACTCCTGCAGGAGGGTGTGCAGCCAACACAGGGTCTGGTAGACACGCACACTGAGCGGGCAGTCTCCTGGGAGGGAGCGGGGGTGGAGGTGGGGGGGCTGGAGGGATTATCCCTGACTCACGCCATTGTCTCTCACTCTTTATTGGTTAGAGTTTAGGCTCACATTCTTGCGCAATTGGTTAATATAAAGGAAAAAGGGAGGGGTTGATCTTTGCTGTTTCAAAATGGCGGCTGCCTAAACTCTCTTGATAGAAAAGATTACTTGTTTATTCTCACAAAGATTTATTCATGTTTCTGAATTTAGTTCTAGTTCATTCATTCCATTCCCACTGGATTAAATAAATATATAGGATTTTTTAATTCCAACATTTTGTCTATTTTTTGTTTTGTTTTCTTGGTAGATAGAATGTCGGTGAATAATGCCAAGCTTGCTGGTTAGTTTGTCTTACTGCACTGGCTCTCTAGTACATTGGTAAATAGACATGATAAAGGTGGTCATTCTGTTTCTGATTTAAAGAGAGTTTCATTAACATTTCATCATTAAGAATAATGTTTTCTGTAAATTTTTGGTTAGGTACTTTGTCAGATTAAGGACATTTGTTTCTATTCCTAGTTTGGTAAGATTTATAAAAAAATCATAGATGGGTTTTGAAGTTTTTGAATGTTTTTTCCCTGCATTGTTGTGATAACATATGATGATTTCTTCATAAATATTAATGTGATTAATATAGTTCAGAATTTTTGGGAGGCTGATATTTTGTTTGCATTTTTAGATCTATGTTCACAACTGAGGTTGGCTTAAACTCTCCCTTCCGCATACTGTTTATGAATGATCCTGTGGTAAAGGTTATAGCATTGTGAAACATTTCTTCTTGTTTTTAAATCCTCACCCAAGGATATTTTTTCCATTGATTTCTAGAGAGAGAGAGTGGAAGGGAGGGAGGCGAGATTGAGAGAGAGAAAGAGAGAGAGAGAGAGGGAGAGAGAAAGAGAGAAACATCACTCAGACAGACACATTGATTGGTTGCCTCCCACACATGCCCCAACCAGGGCGGGGATCAACCTGAAACCTAGGTGCGTTCCCTTGACTAGGAATTGAACCTGTGACCTTTGGTGCATGGGGGTTGGGGAGCTCCCCCCAGGATGCTCTAACCACTGAAGAACTGGCCAGGGCCATTTCTTCTTTTTTTGTTCTGTAAAATAGTTTGTATATAATTGCAATGGTCTGTTTCTGGAGTGTTTTTAGTCTTTTCTAGAAAAGCCATGTGAAACTGGTGCATTTTGTTGTTGTTGTTGTTTTAATGGAAATACTTTAACCACTCATTTTAGGATTATTTTAGTATTCTAGTTTTTTATTTTTTTTTTGATTCAGGTTTGATAAATTATGTATTTTTCTAAGAATTTGTTCTTACCGAAGTTTCCAGTTCTTTGCATGACCCTTCTTTTAGGGGTCATAATCTCTTCAGTTTGATCTACTCTAGATTAATCTTCAATGTCTTCAAACAGTTGTTATTGATAGTAGACACATTATTAGTAGTAGTAGTACCAGTAGCAGTAGCAGTAAAAGTATTCGTGTTACACTTTACAGGTGTAATTTTATTATATCCTCTAGTTGCCATTGTAACAGTTTTAAACTCTGCTCTCAGTTCAGTTGTTCCTTTAATGCCTTTTCTCTCTGGCTTCTCTTACAGTCTTTTTCTTAATCTTTGGTGTTCTGCAGTTTTACCACAAAATGTCTAGATGAAGATTTCTTATTTTGCTTGGTACATATATGCTTCCTGTATTTCTGAACTTATTTTGCTATATGCTTCCTGTATTTCTGAATTTAAGTCTTTTGTAATTTCTGTAAAATTCTCAGCTACTGTATTCTCGTATTCTCACTCTTTTCTATTCTTTCTGGCCATATTTTCTAGGATTCTTATTTAAAACTAGTGGCTAGGTGCACGAAATTCGTGCATGGGGGAGGGGATGTTCCTCAGCCCGGCCTGCACCCTCTCCAATCTGGGACCCCTTGAAGGATGTCTTACTGCCGGTTTACAGGGATTGGGCCTAAACCGGCAGTTGGACATCCCTCTCGCAATCCGGAACTGCTGGCTCCTAACTGCTCACCTGCCTGCCTGCCTGCCTGATTGCCCCTAACTACTCTGCCTGCTGGCCTGCTTGCCCCCACCTTCCCTCCCTACTGGCCTGCTCACCCCCAACTGCCCCCCTGCTGGCCTGCTTACTCCATACTGCCCCCTGCTGTCCTGATCACCTCCAACTGACCCCCACTGATGGCCTGCTTGCCCCC